TTATTGTCTGTCTATGAAGATTTTGTAGTTATTGTATGATTTATTGTCAGTCTATGAAGATTTTGTAGTTATTGTATGATTTATTGTCTGTCTATGAAGATTTTGTAGTTATTGTATGATTTATTGTCTGTCTATGAAGATTTTGTAGTTATTGTATGATTTATTGTCTGTTTATGAAGATTTTGTAGTTATTGTATGATTTATTGTCTGTTTATGAAGATTTTGTAGTTATTGTATGATTTATTGTCAGTTTATGAAGATTTTGTAGTTATTGTATGATTTATTGTCTGTTTATGAAGATTTTGTAGTTATTGTATGATTTATTGTCAGTCTATGAAGATTTTGTAGTTATTGTATGATTTATTGTCTGTTTATGAAGATTTTGTAGTTATTGTATTATTTATTGTCTGTTTATGAAGATTTTGTCGTCGTTAGTAAACACAACATACTTTTGAGGCCCTGAGCACAAGACACACACATGAGGTAAACAGGACAGCCAGCCATCATCTTACCTGTACAGTGATGGAGTGAGCAGGGTGTATGGTGGGTGTCTGGGTGACGGGGAAGACACTATGGTGAGCGGGGGTGGACGGTGTACCGGGGGCGGGGTGGTGGTAGGCCGGGACGTGTGGGGCGGGGTACGTGGGTATGTGATGAGTGGGGGCCATGAGTGCGGGCGCAGGCGGGAGTTGTGTGGGGGCACCGTGGGTGATGGAAGGAGGCGGGGGTGCCACCGTGGGGGATTCCAGATGCAGGGGAGCCGGGGAAGACGTTATGACTGCCATGTTGAGCGGCCGCACCTCCGATATGGCCAGGGGGCGGCAGTGGCGTTCCTCCCCGGGCGTCTTCTCGTTGTCGAAATCTAAGCGGGTGGGGAGAGCTCTAGGACCTGTGGGAGGAGAAACAAAACACGTTAATGAGGCTCAAAGGTGACGCAAATTATTATGTTCAGAAGTAACAAATTACCTTCTTAATTATGTTCAGAGTAAATTACCTCCTTAATTATGTTCAGAAGTAACAAATTACCTCCTTAATTATGTTCAGAAGTAATAAATTACCTTCTTAATTATGTTAAGTAAAAATTACCTTCTTAATTATGTTCAGAGTAAAGTACCTTCTTAATTATGTTCAGAAGTAACAAATTACCTTCTTAATTATGTTCAGAAGTAACAAATTACTTAATTATGTTCTTCTTAATTATGTTCAGAGTAAATTACCTCCTTAATTATGTTCAGAAGTAACAAATTACCTCCTTAATTATGTTCAGAAGTAATAAATTACCTTCTTAATTATGTTCAGAATGTAAAGAGGAGCCTTACAGGTAGTATGCTGAAATGTGAAACAAGCTAACAGTCGAAGTTATCTGGCTCCAACACATCCCCATCTCTAGCAGATCACAAAACAAAGAGCTGCTGTATCAAGACATAACCCACCAATGTGAGACCATCTTGACACATCACCAGCACATCAATCCTGACATCGCCTCTATGATGTGCTCCCTGATCACCCACACTCACCATTACATCAATTATCTATACCAAATAAACCTGAACGGTGATGAACAAGAGGACATTACAAGCATGATAACCAACAGACAGACAGACACACAGGGAACGCACTATAGATACACCTCTACTTACAAAAGAACCGCATTTCACGACCACTGTTTCCAAGACTTTTATAAACTGATCTAATACTTTCATCCTATTAATTTTGTCATCATCATCATATCAATACCCACAGATGCCTTCAACACTTCCACAATTATTTCCAATCTATTAGGACAGACTTTCTATCCTTCATTCAATCAATCATCTTTGTCTATTCTCTATTCTCTTTCAATCGTTGGCCATGGTTCGGTTGCTGGTTCTGCTACATCTACACTACCCCCTTCCCGGTCAGACAATTTCAGTACAGTACGATGTTTACCCCCCAAGCAACTACAGTCATTAAACCACGGTCATTTGTACTCCTCTTTCAGCTGTCGTTGTTGTTTATTTTCTCCGAGCGGCCTTCATTTCCTCGTTACCAACAACCGCATTACCTAGTCATTTCTCACACGCAGGTCACCAAACACAGCCTTGTATCTACCTGCTATTGCCTTGTCTACCTCACCTCTAGCCTCTCAATGATTCACCTAATGTATCCTGTTCACACTAGTAAGCCTTGTACACCTCTCTTCTGTACCTGTACTTGGCCTCCAGGTACTCTTCCTAAGCCCCCTCCTACTCACCCCCTCCCCCCTAGGACTCTCCCACATCACTCACCAGGGGTAATAGGAGTGGCCGAACTAGAGGTGGCGATGGAGTGGCCCCCAGAGAGCGAGTGATGGACAGGCTCGTGGTTCGGCTGGATATTCTTGATGAGTCTCCCCCACGCCGCCACGTTGATGTTCATCTGGTTCGGTCTCGGCACCTTCCCCTTCTGCATGAACAGCTTCTTCTGCCGCTGTAGTTTGGGCTTGCGAGAGATCATCGGGTTTAGGAATTTGATCTGTTGGGGAGAAGCGGGAAAAAATAGTTATACGTTGTCAATAAATCGACAAACATTCATAAAAAAAAACAAAGGCTTATTTCAATTTTATTTTACGCATCAAATTTACATTTACAGTTAGTCAGTTTATCAGTTACTGTGGTCTATGTAGTAGTTCATTATGGCGCCTCCCCTTCAACAACGAGACCCCAAACACAGTCACTTCTCTACGGTTCTGAGACTCGTACGTAAGACCAACCTCACCCTTATAGAAACCAAACACAAAAAATCCAAACCACACGTGACCCATACTCGTCCTAAACAATATCTTCACGATTTTGCATTAGACAATATGACCCAGCGGACGAAGGATTCTGACAACCCTACTGAGACAACAGGAGTCGTGGGGATCCTTCTGGGGATCATCGGACCCCCTCCACAAAGACGCATTCTGGAGCGAGTGTTATGGTACGACTTTACCCCAATAATAAACAAACAAATTACTCTATATATTACTAGACTTAAACAGTATTGTAATGTATAAATAACTTGTATGAATTCTGTACTATACGGACATATGGACGGGTAAGTTCGTTCGCATCTTTGGCAGTTCATAAGTCCAATGTTTGTGTCTAAGGAGGACCATAGAGCACGACCTCTATTTACAGGACTTATGGGAAAGGGTAGTCCATTATTTCAAGGTCCATTAAATCTGAAACCTCAATATAATGGACTAGTACAGGTTAGGTTCTCAAGATGACCGCGAATTGTTAGCAAATCATGACCGCGAATTGTAATATTTGCTTACTGGGGGGGTACATTTTTACTTGTGTACAAAGAAATGTATATTCGCTTTATGTGTTTGCCCTTAGGACAATTATTTCTTTTACCTGTATTGTATATGTGTGTGTATATGTGTGTGTGTGTGTGTGTGTGTGTGTAGACACACACACACACAAAACTCATGCAAATAAATAATAATTGGAAAATCGCCTCACAAATAATTGGAAACAAATTTATTAAAAGTGGGACAGTCTACCCTCAAGTCTATGCTCTATTAATAAAGTACTGTAACAGAGCACGGACTTGAGGGTAGACTGTACCACTTTTAATAAATTTGTTTCCAATTATTTGTGAGGTGATTTTCCAATTATTATTTATTTGTATGAGTTTTGTGTGTGTACATATATACAATATAGGTAAAGGAAATTACTGTCTCTAGAATGAATGGCTCCCTGTCTCAGCCGTGAAAATGCCAGCAACTTTAAAACTACCCACAGACATTCTTGGGTACATCCAGGGTGTCGTCCACGATTAACCGAGAACCGCGAAGTAAAAATCCGCGAACTTGGGAGGCCCTGTACTGTATATGGTAGAGGGTAGTCCATTATATCAAGGCCCATTAGATATGAAACCTCAATACAACGGACTGTACACCAGGTCTGTGTACGTGAAATACAGGTATTCATGCACTTGTGACTGTATTCGTCCGCGCACTTTGCGCACATAACCAGAACGTGCATCGCCATCATCAGCACATCCCTCCCGACAGCCTCTCAATGATGTGCTTCTCTGGTCACTGAAACACTCACCCTTACATCATTGACTTAAGTGTATGAATTAAAATGAGGTCATGAAAATTACAAATAAAGACTGGAAAAAATCAGGACAAAATTAAGAAGGAAAAAAGACCAAAAAATGACCTAAAAGACATTTAAAAAGACCTCATGAACATAACCCCACAAAAAAGACCTTATACAAAACACCTAATAAAAAAGACCCCATGAAAAAGATCTAATAAAAAAGACCCCATGGAAAAAAAAAAGACCTTACCTCAGCAAAAAGTAGTCCCTTTGGTTCTAGCTGGAGTGCCATGCCGTGTCTTACATCGTCAATGAACTCTTCCAGCCTTAGGAACTTAACCGCACACAGCGACCGCCAGTCTCGCCAGTAAATATCTATTTCTAAATCACGGGATTTTTCTAAGTCGATGCTAAATCTGTCGAGAGAGAAAAAAGAAAAAGAATAACACATAATTAGTTGATGTGATGACGTAAAAATCGGTAAATCGGGAATAAAACCGATACATTACTGAAAATCGGTTCACGACGACAAACCAACCCACAGACATAGATAGACTAAATTCCCGCGTCCTGACTCTCACTCCTGCCGCCACCACGAGAACTAGACACACAACAAACCCCACGTGATTTACGGAGGTGCCGATTTAAGGACGAATTTCAGGAACGGAACCTCTGTGGTCTGGCTACTATGGCGAGATTCCTTCGGGTACCTTCCGGGAGTCTCGATACGATGTAAACAAACACGGGGTTGCCACATGTCACAAAATGCGCCAGCCACTGTACCAGGTGTATAAGGCTTGTGAGAGAGAGAGAGAGAGAGAGAGAGAGAGAGAGACAAGGGGTTAAACTAGCCGCCAGACTTGATGACGATCGTTATTGAAGCGCGGTAATAACAACGGACACTTCATACTCAGCTCCCCGTCGACGAACATCTCGCCCTCTTCCAGGAAATGTTGCGAGTGAGAAAATTCCCTTCAGGTTTACTCTGATGCTGAACACTTTGAGGATAACAGTGTGTAAAATATAGGTTATCTTCCCTGTTGTTTTATCGGTTCATCTTGCACCATTCTCTATCTCTCTCTCTTCTTTATCTCTCTCTCTTCTTTATCTCTCTCTCTCTCTTTTCTTTATCTCTCTCTCTCTCTTCTTTATACTTCCTTCTCTCTCTTCTTTATCTCTTTCTCTCTCTCTCTTCTTTATATCTCCTTCTCTCTCTCTTCTTTCTCTCTTTCTTCTTTATCTCTTTCTTCTCTCTCTATCTATATATCTTTCCTCACTACTCTATCTCTCACAATTTCTTCTCTCTATCTCTCTTCCTCTTCTCCCTCTATCTCTCTTCCTCTTCTCTCTCCTCTTCCTATCCATCCTCTTCACAATTAACGGATGAAGAATTAGAATAAACAGATCGTAAATAAAATAAACTCCCTCTCGGCCATAACATCGAACGCCCGGCAAACATTACGATCTGGAGTGTTGGGTTAGGGTAGGGTAGGGTAGGTTAGGGTAGGGTAGGTTAGGGTAGGTTAGGGTAGGTTAGGGTAGGTTAGGGTAGGGTAGGTTAGGGTAGGTTAGGGTAGGTTAGGGTAGGTTTGGTTAGCTGTTAAATTCATTACTCCTTTCCTGTCTCTGAACCAAAGTGGTCAATAGGTGTTGATCTTGTGAGCCGTAGCATAAAGGGTTAAATCATCGTCCTCAAAGGGTTAAATCATCATCCTCAAAGGGTTAAATCATCGTCCTCAAAGGGTTAAATCATCGTCCTCAAAGGGTTAAATCATCGTCCTCAAAGGGTTAAATCATCGTCCCCAAAGGGTTAAATCATCGTCCTCAAAGGGTTAAATCATCGTCCTCAAAGGGTTAAATCATCATCCTCAAAAGGGTTAAATCATCGTCCTCAAAGGGTTAAATCATCATCCTCAAAGGGTTAAATCACCATCTTCTAGTGGTTAAGGAAAAAAGAATTACAACACAAGAATTAATATGTAACTTTCTGTACCATAAAACACACATTGGGTACATGCCAGAACAGTTATGTATCTTTCTAACCAGAACTGTATTCATGAAAGCAAAAAATCATGTAATATGGTAATTAAACTTCTGAAAACTTGAAATTTGAAGGATTTTTTATAGTGAAATTTCCATACAATGAACTTCTGGGCGTCTGTGAAAGCTCCATATAATGAACTTCTGGGCGTCTGTGAAAGCTCCATATAATGAACTTCTGGGCGTCTGTGAAAGCTCCATATAATGAACTTCTGGGCGTCTGTGAAAGCTCCATATAATGAACTTCTGGGCGTCTGTGAAAGCTCCATATAATGAACTTCTGGGCGTCTGTGAAAGCTCCATATAATGAACTTCTGGATGTCTCTGAAAGCTCCATATAATGAACTTCTGGAATGTGAAAATAATGAACTTTGGGCGTCTGTGAAACCTCCATATAACGAACTTCTGGGGGTCTGTGAAAGCTCCATATAATGAACTTCTGGACGTCTGTGAAACCTCCATATAACGAACTTCTCTCTCCATATAGTCCATTAGTTTGGGGGTCACATCAAACAGACCCTCGATATAATGGACTTTCATCTCTACACAGTTCATTAGATGGAGGTATCATATCAAATAGACCCGATATAAAGGACTTTAATCTCTATATAGTCCAATAAATAAAGAGGTTTTAATATACTCTAACAAGACCCATTCCCTGACCTCCCCCCCAAGACTGTGAGAGCATCAGGAGTTAGATAAACCCGAGAGTGTCTTACCTCTGGTCCCACGCTGACTGAGAGCAAGGTTTCCAGCTAGTTTGGCCGACGACTTTGTTATTATCTAACTTTAATACTGCCATTACATCATCTGCAAGAGAGGAAGAAGATTCATTACATAGTCCATCCAATTCACTTCTAAACCACAATAAAACAGTGAAATATATTATATAAATCACTCAATGAAAATAATCTTGAAAAAAAAATGTAAACATGCAGCCTTCACATTTCTGCATCGATCGCATCAACGTTTGTACTGCTCCTGTAATACGACATCAACACTACAGTAACTTGTTGATGTTGTAAGGTCATCAATAAACAAGGACAATGTTGCTGTATGTTATCCAAGTATATTCATGATGTCCATAAAATCGTAAGATCCTGTATATACACATTTTTTCTGAGAACCTCTGCTCATATATAAACTATCTCAGAAACCTCTCAGAATACTCACAGGGAAATATACATACTTTTGGACGCAGTATATATTTAACACTGACGTATGTTTCCTCATTCGGCCATTAGGTGAACACATCCAGGTAAAATAACGTACCATATTTCTCTCTCAAACACACCAAACAGTTTTCGATTTATAGACGACAAAACAGAATCTACATCAGAATTAACCCAAATATAATATCTTTTACATCGATAGTTTCCTCACATTAACCTTCCTTCAGATCGACAATGGCGCCAATTTGGAATCATTAAGCTTTAACCCAATTTAGGCAGATTTATTACAAAGACTAGCTTATTGAATGACCCCATCAGACAGGTCTACAATATTTCAAGTCACACTCAATGTTTACTTCAACTCACACTCAATATCTATATGAACCAAGCAAGCCGATATCAGTGACCCCCTGACTATGAACCAAGCCATAAAGCCAATAACGGTGACCCCTGAATGAACAAGCCATAAAGCCAATAACTGTGACCCCCGATTTGCAGCCAGCCCAATAACAGTGACCCCTGATATGAACCAACCATAAAAGCCAATAGGTGACCCCCTGACTATGACAAGCCATAAAGCCAATAACTGTGACCCCCGATTATGAACCAACCATAAAGCCAATAACAGTACCCCTGACTATGAACAGCCATAAAGCCAATAATGGTGACCCCCGACTATAGACAAGCCATAAAGCCAATAACGGTGACCCCGACTATGAACCAAGCCATAAAGCCAATGCGGTGACCCCTGACTATAACCAAGCCATAAAGCCAATAACAGTGACCCTGACTATGAACCAAGCCATAAAGCCACCAACTGTGACCCCCGATTATGAACAGCCATAAAGCCAATAACAGTGACCCCTGACTATGAACCAAGCCATAAAGCCAATAATGGTGACCCCCCGACTATAAGACCAAGCCATAAAGCCAATAAGACCCCGACTATGAACAAAGCCAAAAGCCAATAGGTGACCCCTGACTATAGACAAGCCATAAGCCAATAACAGTGACCCCTGACTATGAACCAAGCCATAAAGCCAATAACTGTGACCCCCGATTATGAACCAAGCCATAAAGCCAATAACAGTGACCCCTGACTATAGAACCAAGCCATAAAGCCAATAACGGTGACCCCCGACTATGAACCAAGCCATAAAGCCAATACGGTGACCCCTGACTATGAACCAAGCCATAAAGGCCGTAGGCCTGACTATGAACCAAGCCACAAAGCCAATAACTGTGACCTGACTATGAACCAAGCCATAAAAGCCAATAACTGCCACCCGACTATGAACCAAGCCATAAAGACAATAACTGGCCCCTGACTATGAACCAAGCCATAAAGACAATAACAGTGACCTCCTGACTATGAACCAAGCCATAAAGACAATAACTGTGATCCCTGACTATGAACCAAGCCATAAAGCCAATAACTGTGACCTCCTGACTATGAACCAAGCCATAAAGACAATAGCATGATCCTGACTATGAACCAAGCCATAAAGCCAATAACAGTGACCCCCTGACTATGAACCAAGCCATAAAGCCAATAACAGTGACCCCACACTATGAACCAAGCCATAAAGCCAATAACTGTAACCCCCTGACTATGACCAAGCCATAAAGCCAATAACTGTGACCCCGACTATGAACCAAGCCATAAAGCCAATAACAGTGACCCCCTGACTATGAACCAAGCCCATAAAGCATAACAGTATCCCCTGACTATGAAATCTGAGCCGTCAAAACTTACTTGAAATTTCATCCCTAACAGAATAGGATTTGACGATTTCCTGTGACGCCTTTCATGAATGACTTGAGGTCTAGGGTCAGTGTATCTCGGCGAGGAACGGCCAGGAGCGTCCTCCAGAGGTCTTGAACACCAATCAATCTGCGGGAAATGGGTAGTTAAGTAGGGTACAGATGAAACAGGGATTAAGCCTGCGGAAATGGATGATAGTTAAGTAGGGCACAGATGAAACAGGGATTAAGCTGTGAAATGGGATGGTAGTTAAGTAGGGTATAGATGAAACAGGGATTAAGCTGCGGGAAATGGATGATAGTTAAGTAGGGCACAGATGAAACAGGGATTAAGCTGTGGGAAATGGATGATAGTTAAGTAGGGTACAGATGAAACAGGGATTAAGCTGTGGGAAATGGACGGTAGTTAAGTAGGGCACAGATGAAACAGGGATTAAGCTGTGGGAAATGGATGAGTTAAATACAGTATGATATGAAACAGGATTGATTGGGTGGATGTGGTAATCAAATCCCTGGCGACACAAGAGGTTAGGTCACACCTCGCTGAATTAAATAAAGGACTGAAAGACTATAATAACGTGGGTAAAAAATACAAAATAAAACATTAATAACATCGAACTTTCATAAAAACAAACATTTATACGTTAATAGATAAAACTCAAAGTTTAGGGGTTAATACAGGTATAGAGTGAAACCTCGATATAATGGATTTTAGCTCTACATAGTTCGTTAGATGGAGGTTTCACATCTAACGGACCCTCGATATAAAGGACTTTCATCTCTATAGAGTTAGATTAGATGAGGTTTCATGGATTTTGACCTCAATGGACTTTGTTTATTTAGGCCAATCTAACGGACACAATAGGACTTTTTCTCTGAGTCAGAGGTTTCTGGACCCTCTGGGACTTTGGACTGGGACTTCTCTATAGGTTAGTTAAATATAGTTTCACTGGATTACTAGCCAGGGTTGTAATTGTGATAACGCGATTAACCTAACCCCAAGAAAATTATCATAATAGTGAACTGCGTTGTGTCGGAGATCTATATATTGGGTTCTGGATTAGGTTGTATGGGGTGGAGGCCATTAGTCCATTAAAGTTAGAGTACGAATCCTACAGTTGAAGTTAGAGTACCAATCCTACAGTTGAAGTTAGAGTACCAATCCTACTGTTGAAGTTAGAGTACCAATCCTACTGTTGAAGTTAGAGTACCAATCCTACTGTTGAAGTTAGAGTACCAATCCTACTCTTGAAGTTAGAGTACCAATCCTACAGTTGAAGTTAGGTTAGGTTAGGTTAGGTTAGGTTAGGTTAGGTTAGTTTAGGTTAGGTTAGGTTTGGTTAGGTTAGATCAAGAATGCAATATTGCAGAAGGATGACTTACGCCAATGGACAAACTTACTCACTGTCGACTGTGGCACCCCTGACAACACTTGGTGGGGAGACATACATTAGGGCGTCAACTATCATCTTGTGCACAATATTTCACCATCTTACAAAGGGATATACAACCACACCACACTCACAACATCCGGATACTCACCATATCCGGATACACTTCACCACACCATCACCTCATCACATTCACCACACCATCACACTCACCACATTCAGATACTCACCACACCACACTCACCACATCCGGATACTCACCACACCACACTCACCACATCCGGATACTCACCACTTCACCACACTCATCATTACCACCCCACCACACCATCACACTCACCACATCCAGATACTCACCACACCACACACACCACATCCGGATACTCACCATTTCACCACAGTCATCACATCACCACACTCATCATTACCACCCCACCACACCATCACACTCACCACATCCAGATACTCACCACACCACACTCACCACATCCGGATACTCACCACACCATCACACTCACCACATCCAGATACTCACCACATCCGGACCTCACCACATCCGGATACTCACCACACCACACTCACCACTTCACCACACTCACCACACCACCACACTCACCACACACCACACCAGATACTCACCTTACTTCTAACTTGCCAGTGACGGCGGCTCCCTTATTGTGTAGTGCTTGTGAGCGACGGGTGGGGAAGTTCTCCTTATCATAGAGGCTGGTGTAGTTGGCTGGGGAAGGTGACGCAGAGAGGGAGTTCTCCAGCTCTCGCTTCACCTGAAAGAGACCAGACACATTAGAGAGAATTCATTTTCAGTAATAAGTGTTCTTAACCCACCTAACCTAACCTAACCTAACCTGACCTGACCTAACCTAACCTGACCTGACCTGACCTAACCTGACCTAATCTACCTAACCTAACATAAGCTACGAGCCTAACCTAACCTAACCTGACCTGACCTGACCTGACCTAACCTACCTGACCTGACCTAACCTAACCTAACCTAACCTGACCTGACCTGACCTGGACCTAACCTAACCTGACCAGCCTAACCTAACCTAACATAAGCTACGAGCCTATATTTATTTATGTTTACTAACTAATAAAAATTAAACTAAACCTGACTAAATTAAAAAAAAATACACTAAGATTATTAAATTAAATCAGATTAAGTTAAGTCGTGGTAATTTAAAGTTATAATTAAATTTATCGGTTCGCAATTCCTTATGCCAAGTAGCCACACTTGGGAGAATTTCATAATATATTTCTATTTTGTCTTCCACACTCGTTTTAATCCTTCATCCTTCACTAAACTACCAAGTAATATTATTTCCTTCAAACTTGTGTAAAATAAAGACTAAATTGATTAGAAAATAATGAGTAGTGTATTTATTTACTATATTACGTCAGAGGCAACAGCTGATGTATGGGAGGACTGACCCCACCCCCTGATCCCACAGGAGGGAAGTGACTAGCTGAGGAGGGGGAGGGAACAGGGAGGGGAGACAGGTGGGGGCGGCAATAAGGACGTGACGAGGGGACAGTGACGGAATGAGGAAGTGACAGAGAAAGGTTTCAGGAGGACAGTGCCAATGAGACTGTCCCATTGTGTGCCATAACGCCCCTGTCACTGTCTCTCTGTCTACCGGTGATTCACACCGGCACTGTCTCTCTGTCTACCGGTGATTCTTGATTCACACCGGCACTGTCTCTCTGTCTACCAGTGATTCACACCGGCACTGTCTCCTGTCTACCAGTGATTCCACCGTTACTGTCTCTCTGTCTACCGGTGATTCACACCGGCACTGTCTCTCTTCTACCAGTGATTCACACCGTTACTGTCTCTCTGTCTACCAGTGATTCACACCGGCACTGTCTCTCTGTCTACCAGTGATTCACACCACTGTCTCTCTGTCTACCAGTGATTCCACACCGTTACTGTCTCTCTGTCTACCAGTGATTCACACCGTCACTGTCTCTCTGTCTACCAGTGATTCACACCGTTACTGTCTCTCTGTCTACCAGTGATTCACACCGGCACTGTCTCTCTGTCTGCAGTGATTCACACCGGCACTGTCTCTCTCTGTCTACCAGTGATTCACACGGCACTGTCTCTCTGTCTACCAGTGATTCACACCGTTACTGTCTCTCTGTCTACCAGTGATTCACACCGTTACTGTCTCTCTGTCTACCAGTGATTCACACCGTTACTGTCTCTCTGTCTACCGTAGTGATTCACCGTCACTGTCTCTCTGTCTACCAGTGATTCACACCGTTCACTGTCTCTCTGTCTACCAGTGATTCACACCGTTACTGTCTCTCTGTCTACCAGTGATTCACACCAGCACCTCTCTCTGTCTACCGGTGATTCCACACCGTTACTGTCTCTCTGTCTACCAGTGATTCACACCGGCACTGTCTCTCTGTCTACCGGTGATTCACACCGGCACTGTCTCTCTGTCTACCAGTGATTCACACCGTTACTGTCTCTGTCTCAGGGATTCACACCGGCACTGTCTCTCTCACCAGTGATTCACACCGTTACTGTCTCTCTGCCAGTGATTCACCCCGTTACTGTCTCTCTGTCTACCAGTGATTCACACCGTTACTGTCTCTGTCTACCAGTGATTCACACCGGCACTGTCTCTCTGTCTGGTGATTCACCGTTACTGTCTCTCTGTCTACTGTGATTCCACCACTGTCTCTCTGTCTACCGGTGATTCACAGTTACTGTCTCTCTGTCTACCAGTGATTCACACCGGCATGTCTCTCTCTACCAGTGATTCACACCGTCCTGTCTCTCTGTCTACCGTTTACACCGTTACGTCTCTCTGTCTACCAGTGATTCACACCGCTACTGTCTCTCTGTCTACCAGTGATTCACACCGTCACTGTCTCTGTCTACCAGTGATTCACACCGTTACTGTCTCTCTGTCTACCAGTGATTCACACCGTACTGTCTCTCTGTCTACCAGTGATTCACACCGTTACTGTCTCTCTGTCTACCAGTATTCACACCGCTGTCTCTGTCTACCAGTGATTCACACCGGCACTGTCTCTGTCTACCGGTGATTCACACCGGCACTGTCTCTCTGTCACCAGTGATTCACACCGTTGCTCTCTCTGTCTACCAGTGATTCACACCGTTACTGTCTCTCTGTCTACCAGTGATTCACACCGGCACTGTCTCTCTGTCTAGTGATTCACACCGTTACTGTCTCTCTGTCTACCAGTGATTCACACCGGCACTGTCTCTCTGTCTACCGGTGATTCCCGTTACTGTCTCTCTGTCTACCAGTGATTCACACCGTCACTGTCTCTCTGTCTACCGTGATTCACACCGTTACTGTCTCTCTGTCTACCGATGATTCACACCGTTACTGTCTCTCTGTCTACCAGTGATTCACACCGTTACTGTCTCTCTGTCTACCAGTGATTCACACCGGCACTGTCTCTGTCTGCAGTGATTCACACCGGCACTGTCTGTCTACCAGTGATTCACACCGGCACTGTCTCTCTGTCTACCAGTGATTCACACCGTCACTGTCTCTCTGTCTACCAGTGATTCACACCGTTACTGTCTCTCTGTCTACCAGTGATTCACACCATACTGTCTCTCTGTCTACCGGTGATTCACACCGGCTGTCTCTCTGTCTACCGGTGATTCACACCGTTACTGTCTCTCTGTCTACCAGTGATTCACACCGTCCTGTCTCTCTGTCTACCGGTGATTCACACCGTTACTCTCTCTGTCTACCAGTGATTCACACCGGCACTGTCTCTCTGTCTACCGGTGATTCACACCGGCACTGTCTCTCTGTCTACCAGTGATTCACACCGTTACGTCTCTCTGTCTGCAGTGATTCACACCGTTACTGTCTCTCTGTCTACCAGTGATTCACACCGGCACTGTCTCTCTGTCTACCAGTTCCACACCGTTACTGTCTCTCTGTCTACCGAGTGATTCACACCGGCTTGTCTCTCTCTCTGTCTACCGGTGATTCACACCGTTACTGTCTCTCTGTCTACCAGTGATTCACACCGTCACTGTCTCTCTGTCTACCGGTGATTCACACCGTCACTGTCTCCTGTCTACCAGTGATTCACACCGTCACTGTCTCTCTGTCTACAGTGATTCACACCGTTACTGTCTCTCTGTCTACCGGTGATTCACACCGTTACTGTCTCTCTGTCTACCAGTGATTCACACCGTTACTGTCTCTCTGTCTACCAGTGATTCACACCGGCACTGTCTCTCTCTGTCTACCAGTGATTCACACCCGGCACTGTCTCTCTCCTACCAGTGATTCACACCGTTACTCTCTCTCCTTCACCAGTGATTCACCGTTACTGTCTCCTCTACCAGTGATTCACACCGTCACTGTCTCTCTGTCTACCAGTGATTCCACCGGCACTGTCTCTCTGTCTACCAGTTCACACCGGCACTGTCTCTCGTCTACCAGTGATTCACACCGCTACTGTCTCTCTGTCTACCGGTGATTCACACCCAGCACTGTCTCTCTGTCTACCAGTGATTCACCGGCACTGTCTCTCCTCAGTGATTCACACCGGCCTTCTCTCTGTCTACCAGTGATTCACACCGTCACTGTCTCTCCAGTGATTCACGCTACTGTCTCTCTGTCAGTGATTCACACCCATCTCTGTCTAATGATTCACCGTCACTGTCTCTGTCTACCAGTGATTCACGGCTGTCTCTCTGTCACAGTGATTCACACGCTGTCTCTCTGTCTACAGTGATTCACCTCTCTCTCTACCAGTGATTCACACCGTCACTGTCTCTCTGTCTACCAGTGATTCACCGGCACTGTCTCTGTCTACCAGTGATTCACACCATCATGTCTCTCTGTCTACCAGTGATTCACACCATTACTGTCTCTCTGTCTCCAGTCTGCTCTACCAGTGATTCACACCAGCACTCTCTCTGTCTACCAGGTGATTCACACCGGCACTGTCTCTCTGTCTACCAGTGATTCACACCGGCTTACTGTCTCTCTGTCTACCAGTGATTCCACCGTCACTGTCTCTCTGTCTACCAGTGATTCACACCGTCACTGTCTCTCTGTCTACCGGTGATTCACACCGTTACTGTCTCTCTGTCTACCAGTGATTCCCATCACTTACCTCTGTCTACCAGTGATTCACACCGTTACTGTCTCTCTGTCTACCAGTGATTCACACCAGCACTGTCTCTCTCTCTGTCTGCAGTGATTCACACCGGCACTGTCTCTCTGTCTACCAGTGATTCACACCGTTACTGTCTCTGTCTACCAGTGATTCACACCGTTACTGTCTCTCTGTCACCAGTGATTCACACCGTCCTGTCTCTCTGTCTACCAGTGATTCCCACTGTCTCTCTGTCTACAGTGATTCCACCGCACTGCTCTCTGTCTACCAGTGATTCACACCGCTACTGTCTCTCTGTCTACCGGTGATTCACACCGGCTATCTCTCTGTCTACCAGTGATTCCACCGGCACTGTCTCTCTGTCTACCAGTGATTCACCGGCACTGTCTCTCTGTCTGCAGTTCACACCGTCACTGCTCTCTCTGTCTACCAGTGATTCACACCGCTACTGTCTCTCTGTCTACCAGTGTTCACACCGGCACTGTCTCTCTGTCTACCAGTGATTCACACATCTGTCTCTCTGTCTACCAGTGATTCACACCGGCACTGTCTCTCTGTCTACCAGTGATTCACACCGGCACTGTCTCTCTGTCTACCAGTGATTACACCGTCACTGTCTCTCGTCTACCAGTGATTCACCGTCACTGTCTCTCTGTCTACCAGTGATTCACACCGGCACTGTCTCTCTGTCTACCAGTGATTCACACCGTCACTGTCTCTCTCTGTCTACCAGTGATTCACACCGTTACTGTCTCTCTGTCTACCAGTGATTCACACCGTCACTGTCTCTCTGTCTACCAGTGATTCACACCGGCACTGTCTCTCTGTCTACCGGTGATTCACACCGGCACTGTCTCTCTGTCTCCAGTGATTCACCCGGCACTGTCTCTCTGTCTACCGGTGATTCACGCCACTGGTGGAGTCATTATAGAAGTGATTCGGATTTTGCGTCCAAACAACCTCACTTAACTACCCTTAAACAGAGTCAGGAAAATGATTCAGTGGTGTGTGTGTGTGTGTGTGTGTGTGTGTGTGTGTGTGTGTGTGTCTGTGTGTGTGTGTGTGTGTGTGTGTGGTCCTGCAGTCTACTGTTGGTTGGTCTGTCTGTCTGTATGTCTCTCTCGTATGTATGTATGTATGTATGTATGTATGTATGTATGTACAGTATGTGTATGTATCATATGTATGTATGTATGTATGTATGTACGGTGTGTATGTATGTATGTATGTATAGGTTTCATTCAGACGGTCTCTTTGAATGACATCACGTTGCGTGGCACAGTGCCGTCACCCAACAACCAATTAGATTACACTCCAACGAAAGGGCAACTCACCCCGGTGGTAGCTCACTGGGGGATCTGAACTTTGACCAAAAAGCAATGCATTATACCAGCCTATACCTAACCTAACCTAACTATCCACTAACCCCTTGAGTACTTGAAGTCATCATACTCAGGGGTTGATCATCATACTCAAGGGGTTAGATCATCATACTCCAGGGGTTAAGTCATACTCCAGGGTTAAGTCATCATACTCAAGGGTTAAGTCATACTTACTCCAGGGTTAAGTCATTATACTCCAAGGTTAAGTCATCATACTCAAGGGGTTAAGTCATCATACTCAAGGGGTTAAAGTCATCATACTCAAAGGGTTAAGTCATTATACTCAGGGGTTAAGTCATCATACTCAAGGGGTTAAGTCATCATACTCAAGGGGTTAAGTCATCATACTCAAAGGGGTTAAGTCATCATACTCAAGGGATTCAGTGTCACCATACTCAAGGGTTAAGTCATTATACTCAAGGGGTTAAGTCATCATACTCAAGGGTTAAGTCATCATACTCAAGGGGTTAAGTCATCATACTCAAGGGTTAATCCTCATACTCCAGGGGTTAAGTCATACTCAGGGTTAAGTCATCATACTCAAGGTTAAGTCATCTACTCAAGGGTTAGTCATCCTCAGACATCCACCCAGACAGCCATACTATGTACTCACCTCGCCAGCCCATAAAGGGAGCCAGACATCCACCCAGACAGCCATAGAGCCATACTATGTACTTCACCTCGCCAGCCATAAGGGAGCAGACATCCACCCAGACAGCCATAGAGCCATACTATTGTACTCACCTCGCCAGCCATAGGGGCCAGACATCACCCAGACAGCCATAGAGGCCATACTATGTACCTCACCAGCCATAAGGAGCCAGACATCCACCCAGACAGCCATAGAGCCATACTATGTACTTACCTCGCCAGCCATAAGGGAGCCAGACATCCACCCAGACAGCCATGAGCCATATTATGTACTCACCTCGCCAGCCATAAAGGGAGCCAGACATCCACCCAGACAGCCATAGAGCCATACTGTGCCTCGCCAGCCATAAGGAGCCAGACATCCACCCAGACAGCCATAGAGCCATACATGTGCCTCACCAGCCATAAAGGGGCCAGACATCACCCAGACAGCCATGAGCCATATGTACTCACCTCGCCAGCCATAAGGGAGCCAGACATCCACCCAGACAGCCATAGAGCCATACTATGTACCCTCGCCAGCCATAAGGGGCAGACATCCCACCCAGACAGCCATAGAGCCATCCTGTACTCACCTCGCCAGCCATAAGGGGAGCCAGACATCCACCCAGACAGCCATAGAGCCATACTATGTACACTCACCTCGCCAGCCATAAGGAGCCAGACATCCACCCAGACAGCCATAGAGCCATACTATATACTTACCTCACGCCAGCCATAAGGGGCAGACATCACCCAGACAGCCATAGAGCCATACTATGTACTCACCTCACCAGCCATAGGGAGCCAGACATCCCACCATCGGGGCCATACTATGTACTTCTCGCCAGCCATAAGGGAGCCAGACATCACCCAGACAGCCATAGAGGCCATACTATGTACTCACCTCGCATACATAAGGGAGCCAGACATCCACCCAGACAGCCATAGAGCCATACTAGTACTCACCTCACCAGCCATAAGGGAGCCAGACATCCACCCAGACAGCCATAGAGCCACTATGTACTCACCTCACCAGCCATAAGGAGCCAGACATCCACCCAGACAGCCATGAGAGCCATACTATGTACTCACCTCGCCAGCCATAAGGGGCCAGACATCACCCAGACAGCCATAGAGCCATACTGTACTCACTCCCAGCACGGGGCAGCCTGACAGCCAAGAGCCATACTATGTACTCACCTCACCAGCCATAAAGGGCCAGACATCACCCAGAGCCATAGAGCCATACTATGTACCACCTCACCAGCCATAAAGGAGCCAGACATCCACCCAGACAGCCATGAGCCATACTATGTACTCACCTCGCCAGCCATAAAGGAGCCAGACATCCACCCAGACAGCCATAGAGCCATACACTATGTACTCACCTCGCCAGCCATAAAGGAGCCAGACATCCACCCAGACAGCCATGAGCCATACTATGTACTTACCTCACCAGCCATAGGGCCAGACATCCACCCAGACAGCTATAGAGCCATACTATGTACTTACCTCTCGCCAGCCATAAAGGGGCCAGACATCCACCCAGACAGCCATAGAGCCATACTATGTACTCACCTCGCCAGCCGCCAGGGGAGCCAGACATCACCCAGACAGCCATAGAGCCATACTATGTACTCACCTCACCAGCCATAAGGGGAGCCAGACATCCACCCAGACAGCCATAGAGCCATACTATTGCTCACCTCACCAGCCATAAGGAGCCAGACATCCACCCAGACAGCCATAGAGCCATACTATGTACTCACCTCACCAGCCATAAGGGAGCCAGACATCCACCCAGACAGCCATAGAGCCATATATGTACTCACCTCACCAGCCATAGGGAGCCAGACATCCCCCAGACAGCCATAGAGCCATACTATGTACTCACCTCACCAGCCATAAGGGGCCAGACATCCACCCAGACAGCCATAGAGCCATACTATGTACTTACCCCCACCAGCCATAGGGGAGCAGACATCACCCAGACACCATGAGCCATACTTATGTACTCACCTCGCCAGCCATAAGGAGCCAGACATCCACCCAGACAGCCATAGAGAGCCATACTATGTACTCTCACCAGCCATAAGGGCAGACATCCACCCAGACAGCCATAGAGCCATACTATGTACTTACCTCGCCAGCCATAAGGGAGCAGACATCCACCCAGACAGCCATAGAGCCATACATGTACTTACCTCGCCAGCCATAAGGGAGCCAGACATCCACCCAGACAGCCATAGAGCCATACTATGTACTCACCTCACCAGCCATAAGGGAGCCAGACATCACCCAGAGGCCATAGAGCCATACTATGTACTCACCTCACCAGCCATAAGGAGCCAGACATCCACAGACAGCCATAGAGCCATACTATGTACTCACCTCGCCAGCCATAAAGGAGCCAGACATCCACCCAGACAGCCATAGAGGCCATACTATGTACTCACCTCACCAGCCATAAGGGAGCCAGACATCCACCCAGACAGCCATAGAGAGCCATACTATGTACTTACCTCACCAGCCATAAAGGGAGACAGACATCCACCCGAACCATAGAGCCATACTGCCTTACCTCGCCAGCCATAAGGGGCCAGACATCCACCCAGACAGCCATAGAGCCATACTATGTACTCACCTCGCCAGCCATAAGGGAGCCAGACATCCACCCAGACAGCCATAGGCCATACTGTACTCCTCGCCAGCCATAAGGGAGCCAGACATCCACCCAGACAGCCATAGAGCCATACTATGTACTCACCTCGCCAGCCATAAGGAGCCAGACATCACCCAGACAGCCATAGAGCCATACTATGTACTCACCTCGCCAGCCATAAGGAGCCAGACATCCACCCAGACAGCCATAGAGCCGCCACTATGTACTCACCTCACCAGCCATAAGGGGCCAAGACATCCACCCAGACAGCCATAGAGCCACACTATGACTCACCTCACCAGCCATAAGGGAGCCAGACATCCACCCAGACAGCCATAGAGCCATACTTGTACTCACCTCACCAGCCATAAGGAGCCAGACATCCACCCAGACAGCCATGAGAGGCCATACTATGTACTCACCTCACCAGCCATAAGGGAGCCAGACATCCACCCAGACAGCCATAGAGCCATACTATGTACTTACCTCGCCAGCCATAGGGAGCCAGACATCCACCCAGACAGCCATAGAGCCATACTATGTACTCACCTCACCAGCCATAAGGGAGCAGAGGCAGATCGCTCCATAGAGTCTCTAAAGACAACCGGACCAGATCTAGTTTATGGCTGCTTTCCTCTAGTCGTTGTTGAGCCTGCAAGACATAATAGACAGGTTAGGTTAGGTTTAGGTTAGGTTTTAGGTTAGGTTAGGTTAGGTTAGGTTAGGTTTGAGTTTTGGGTTAGGTTAATCCTCTATAGAAACAAGCTGGGGAGGGAGAGAGGAAGCTGGAGAGGGCAAAATCTTCAGGTGGTGCTAATTATACTCCCCCCACCTCCTCACCCTCACCTTCCCCCCTCCTCCCCCCTACCTCCTCATACACACCTTCCCCTTACCCCCCCACCCTCCCTCCCCTCACCCCCACCCACACACACCTTTCTGGGTTATTGCAACTCACGGTTATAATATTAACAATAATTATCAATTTTCACACCTTATTAGTTAATGAACACAGTAACCTCTTAAGCATAGCGACATTTGGTTGGGTTTGACGACGTTTGGTTGGGTTTTGGTTACATTTGGTTGGGTTTTGGTTGCGTTTGGTTGGGTTTTGGTTACATTTGGTTGGGTTTGGTTACGTTTGGTTGGGTTTTGGTTACGTTTGGTTGGGGTTTGGTTACGTTTGGTTGGGGTTTGGTTACGTTTGGTGGGTTTGACGACGTTTGGTTGGGGTTTGGTTACGTTTGGTTGGGGTTTGGTTACGTTTGGTTGGGTTTTGGTTACATTTGGTTGGGTTTGACGACGTTTGGTTGGGTTTAGGTTACGTTTGGTTAGGATTTGGTTACGTTTGGTTGGGGTTTGACGACGTTTGGTTGGGTTTGACGACGTTTGGTTGGGGTTGGCGACATTTGTTGGGTTTAGTTACGTTTGGTTGGGGTTTGGTCACGTCTGGTTGGGTTTGACGACGTTTGGTTGGGTTTTAGTTACGTTTGGTTGGGTTTGACGACGTTTGGTTGGGTTTAGGTTACGTTTGGTTGGGTTTGACGACGTTTGGTTTGGGTTTAGGTCACGTTTGGTTGGGTTTGACGACGTTTGGTTGGGTTTAGGTCACGTTTGGTTGGGTTTGACGACGTTTGGTTGGGTTTTAGGTTACGTTTGGTTGGGTTTGACGACGTTTGGTTGGGTTTTGGTTACGTTTGGTTGGGTTTGACGACGTTTGGTTGGGGTTTGGTTACATTTGGTTGGGTTTTGGTTACATTTGGTTGGGTTTAACATCAGCTGGGCGATAACGTACCCCCTAATTGGCTTTAAACAACAGTTAAACCAAACCACCAATTACACTTAAAACGAACCCACTAATTAGCCAATAGTAATTACCCAAGTGTCGCTATAATTAGTAGTAGTAGTAGTAGTAGTAGTAGTAGTAGTAGTAGTTACAAAAGCCTACGTTAATTTTTCCTCTTATCTGGTGATGTGAGAACGCATATAACACAAATGACATCACTAGCAAAGAATGACATCACTAACAAACAATGACATCATTAACAGAATGGCATCACTAACAAAGAATGACTTCACTAACAAAGAATGACATCACTAACAAAGAATGACATCACTAACAAGAATGATATCACTTACAAAGAATGACATCACTAACAAGAATGACTTCACTAACAAAGAATGACATCACTAACAAACAATGACATCATTAACAGAATGGCATCACTAACAGAGAATGACATCACTTACAAAGAATGACTTCACTAACAAGAATGACATCACCAACAAAGAATGACATCACTAACAGAGAATGACATCACTTACAAGAATGACATCACTTACAAAGAATGACATCACTAACAAAGAATGACATCACCAACAAGAATGACATCAACAAAGAATGACATCACTAACAGAGAATGACATCACTTACAAAGAATGACATCACTTACAAAGAATGGCATCACTAGCAGAATGACATCACTAACAAAGAATGACATCACAAAGAATGACATCACTAACAAAGAATGACATCACTAACAAGAATGACATCACTAACAAAGAATAACATCACTAACAAAGAATGACATCACCAACAAGAATGACATCACTTACAAAGAATGACATCACCAACAAAAGAATGACATCAACAAAGAATGACATCACTAACAGAGAATGACATCACTTACAAAGAATGACATCACTTACAAGAATGACATCACCAACAAAGAATGACATCAACAAAGAATGACATCACTAACAAAGAATAACATCACTAACAAAGAATGACATCACCAACAAGAATGACATCACTTACAAAGAATGACATCACCAACAAAGAATGACATCAACAAGAATGACATCACTAACAGAGAATGACATCACTTACAAAGAATGACATCACTTACAAAGAATGACATCACCAACAAAGAATGACATCAACAAAGAATGACATCACTAACAGAGAATGACATCACTAACAAAGAATAACATCACTAACAAAGAATGACATCACTAACAAGAATGACATCACTAAAGAATGACATCACTAACAAAGAATGACATCACTAACAAAGAATAACATCACTAACAAAGAATGACATCACCAACAAAGAATGACATCACTAACAAAGAATGACATCACTAACAGAGAATGACATCACTAACAAAGTGTGACTTCACTAACAAAGAATGACATCACCAACAAAGAATGACATCAACAAAGAATGACATCACTAACAGAGAATGACATCACTTACAAAGAATGACATCACTTACAAAGAATGACATCACTAACAAAGAATTACATCACTTACAAAGAATGACATCACTAACAAAGAATGACATCACTTACAAAGAATGACATCACTAACAAAGAATGACATCACTAACAAAGAATGACATCACTTACAAAGAATGACATCACTAACAAAGAATGACATCACTTACAAAGAATGACATCACTAACAAAGAATGACATCACTAGCAAAAATGACATCACTATAACCCACATGACATCAATTAACACAGAATGACATCAATACCCAAACGACATCACTTATAAATGACATGAGGGATAAATACACCAAGTTAACTAGATACGTTCTCGAAACACCAGTTATGGGGGGGGACTAGGTCGAACTATGCATGATTAATTAGGTACAAGAGAGGTCATTAACGCTCACGTCCAGACAGACAGACAGACAGACAGAGACACACAGACAGACAGATACAGACAGACAGACACACAGAGACAGACACACACACACAGATACAGACAGACAGACAGACACACACACACACACAGAACAAGATACAGACACACACAGACAGACAAGACAGACAGACAGACAGACACACACACACACAGATACAGACAGACAGAACACACACACACACACACACAGATACAGACACACAGATACAGACACACACAGACAGACAGACAGACACACAGACAGACAGACTGACAGACAGACAGACACACAGACAGACAGACTGGACAGACAGACATACAGACAGACAGACAGACAGACAGACAGACAGAATAGACACTGCTTATGGTACTCTGCTCCGTGTGTCGAGTTGCTACAAGGTTCCATAATATTGTGCTTGGTCGGTTAAGGCCTTATAGTCTGGTGTGTGTGGTGAAGGTGGTGACGCGTGTGTGGTGACGCTGTGTGTGGTGAAGGTGGTGATGACGCGCGTGTGTGGTGAAGGTGGTGACGCGTGTGGGTGGTGGTGGTGGTGGTGGTGGTGACGCGTGTGGTGACGGTGGTGACGCGTGTGTGTGGTGACGCGTGTGTGTGGTGAAGGTGGTGACGCGTGTGTGTGTGGAAGGTGGTGACGCGCGTGTGGTGGTTGTGGTGGTGGTGGTGGGGGTAGATGGCTTACCTACATGGGAGTGTGTGGCGCTATCGCTGACATTACTGTTGGCACGGGATAGTGTGGTGCCCGGGAAGGAGCTGGGCAGTACAGAGGTCTCCCTGGTCTCCCTGGTCTCGGGGCACAGGTGGTTCGTTAGGGACCACGCCCGTAACCTGCTGCCCTGAACCTGCCAGCTGGAGTCTGAGGTCCAGCTGCGGCAGTTATCACACGAGCACTGAGGGTTCCGGGGAGGACCAAAGTGGATGCCTCGCCGTTTAGGTGGGGTCATCTCCCCGAAGAGCTGCGGCCGGACAAACCTACGTTGCTCAGGGATACAAGTGGTCCTGGCCTCCGTCATCCTGGAGGCGGGCACCGGCACTGTCTGACTGAAGGGGAACCTCGGCAGGTGACGGAAGAGCCCCACGTTGATGAGTCTCCCGCCGCCCACGTTGATGAGTCTTCCGCCGCCCACAGTAAGCGTCTCCCGCTCGTCGTCTCCGTGGAAGGAATCTCTCCTGGGGCCAAATCGTCGCTGTGGTAGAGGCGACATGACCTTCCTGGGGTGCCTGCGGGGGTGCTCGCTCCGCCCCCGGCAGTACAGGAGGAGCCTCACTCACCTGGGACTTGACCGCCTCCGTCGTCGACATCTTGTGGGCGCAGGCAGATAGTCGGCGCCTCACCGTCGACACAACATCTTGCCACTCGACTGAGCCCGATCTTGACGATTCCTCCGTCTCCAGAAACTGCTCCAGGAAGCTGGCGGATCTTGACCTCCGCCGAGCTCCCTGACCCCGCCCTCTCCAGGTCAGACTCACGTATCTCCAGAGACCTGCGTCGGAGGAACTAGACGAGTCGGCCCTCTCACCCGCCCTCATAGCCCCGTCCTTCTTCAGTCCTGTAAGACTCATGCGTCTCCGAGAACCTCCCAGAGTCACTTCTTGCTGCATGTCTCCCAGAGTCTCTCCTCTCGACTCTACCCGAGTCTCTCCTCTCTACTCTACCTGAGTCTCTCCTCTCGACTCTGTCTGAGTCTCTCCTCTCGACTCTACCCGAGTCTCTCCTCTCGACTCCACCCGAGTCTCTCCTCACTCTGCCTGAGTTCCTCTCGACTCTGTCTGAGTTCTCCTCTCGACTCTGAAATCTCTCCTCCTCGACTCTACCAGAGCCTCTCTACCTGAGCCCTCCTCTCGACTCTGTCTGAGTCTCTCCTCTCGACTCGACCCGAGTTCCTTCTCTTCAGTCTACCCGAGTCTCTCCTCTGAAGAGGAGGACCAGAGTCTCCACCGTCTACAGACCGTGCCGAGTCCTCGGGACCTGCCAGGGTATACAGACCGTGAATAGTCCTTCCTCTCAGAGACCCTGCTGGAGTCTCTCTTCTCCATGAAGCGATAATACTCCCTCTTGTCCTGAAACTTGAAGGAGTCTTTCTTCTCCAGCGGCCTCCCGCCTTCTCTAGGGACCTGGAGGGTTCTCTCCTCTCCAGGAGTTCCTTCAGGGAGTCCCTCCTCCTCACCCCGGTAGAGGAGTCCGCCTCAGCGCCGCTGGGGAACGGTAATGACTTCCTCCTGGCAACAGTGCCGAAGGAGTCTTTACTTTCCATACTGCCGAGGGAGTCGGTACCATCCAGTGACCTCGCTGACTCGGCGTACCCCAGCGACTCTGAATCCTTCAGCTCCTGTGACCTGGTTGAGTCTCGACTCTCCTGAGCCTTATACTGCTGCATCCACTCCAGCAGGCGGTTGGATTCCTTCTTCTCCATCGTCTTACACGACTCGCGTTCCGGCAGCCCGAAGGATCCCTCCTTCTCCGAGGAGTGTCGTGACTCGCGTCTCGAGCGACTTGGAGATAACTTTGAGGTCCTCCTTGGAGAAGTCCCTGAAGGCGGGCAGCTAGCCAGCTCGACAACATTGGTGGGGGTGGCGGAGCGCTGTGTCCGTCGCTTGAGAGCCTCACGGTAGCGCTCCTCCTGACCCTTCTGGATGTACCTCTGGCGCTCCAGCTGAGGTGACCGCCACAGTTTGGGTGAGTCGTGCAGGCCCAGCACCTCTGACTCTCCCTCACAGAAAGTTTCGTGTAAGGACGACAGAGAGAGCCCTGAGGTGGGGCGAGGTGACGGCAGGTCTATGTCACTCGTCAGACGGGGCGTCGAGGTCTCGAACTCACTGCCGCGCCAGGACAAGGCTGAATCCGGAAGCTCCGCCTCGCCCTCCCAGGGGTCAACATCCATTGGACTACTGAGGTAGGACAGACTAGAGTGTCTGCTGTGTGGTCGGGCGCCGGCGTTCTCCGGCGGCTGCGGTAGAGGTGAAATGGGCACCGCCAGTGTGGTTGGTCGTGGTGCGGGCATGGGTATCGGGGACTGATGGGTGCTGGCGGGCGGCGGCGGCTGTGACGTACCGCCTCTAGAAGGCGGCCGCCACCTCCTCAGCCAGGTCATCCTTGTCTGGTGTTGTGGGCGGCGGGGAGGAGCACAGCGGCAACAAGTCGTCGGTAATGAAGGTGGTCCTCCGGCTGGTGTGTGGAGCTCGTCCTCGTGAGTACACAAAACTGGAGGCTTTCTCCTCCAGTGGGTGGTAGTGGTGACGGCCGAGGTTCAGCTCCGTCTTCTTGCGCTGTTTAGACCCCAGGGCCACCACAGCGTGGGGTCTACGAGGCCCCGAGTCTAGCGTGTCCTCCGAGACGGGTGACGAGGGCGACGAGGAGTCCACGTCAGAGGAGGAGCTGCAGTACACGTCGATGTGGATGGTGCGTGGACGGGGCCCCCTCTGCTGCCTGGTGCGGGGCCCACGGGACGTAGAGGCGGGCCCTCCTCCATCACCCTGTGAACCCATGGGAGCACTACACCTCTACACCATTAACACAACACAAACGCCTTCCTCCTCCTCCTAACCTGCCACCTTAACTAGCGCCAATAACACCTTTATAATGAATGGAAGAAGTCCGCACCTGGGCAACACGACCACACCATTAAACCAGATGACACGAGCCAATAAAAACTAACAGAGGTTTAACAGGTTAGGGTTTGGTCTGGTTAAAACGAGTTTGGATCGTCTGGATGGTAAATGGTTTAACAATCACAACCGTTAACCAGAATTAACCAACTAAACCTCACCTAAAACTACCACACACGTTCGTCAGGTCAGGCTTAGCCATATCAAAACAGGTTTAAATCGTCTATGAAGTAAATGGTTTAACTCTCACCACTGAATACATGACCAAAACCAATTAAACCTAACACACCCCCAAACAACCACAGGATCGTTAACCTAAATCAGCTTAAGGTAGTATAGGATGGCTTAGCGGTCCGTCTGGTGATCGTGGTATTAAGATACATACAGACATCTTGCCACACGAGGAACCTAACCCAACCAAACTTAACCAAACTAACCAAACCAAACCTAACCTAACCCAACCAAACCAAACCTAACCCAACCTAACCAAACCAAATCTAACCTAACCTAACCTAACCAAACTTAACCTAACCTAACCAAACCAAATCTAACCAAACTTAACTTAACCTAACCAAACCAAATCGAACCAAACCTAACCTAACCTAACCCAACCAAACCTAACCTAACTTAACTCAACTCAAACTTAACCCAACACTGAGACTCTACCTTAACTAGATACCTCTTACTTAAACACCAGTTAGGTTAGGTTAGGTTAGGTTAGGTGATTACTAAGAGAGAAAAGGATTAGGCCGAAGATTAGTAGATTAGAGAGAGTGATCAAGGGTTCAGAATAAACTCCTAATCCCACCTCACCCAGAATCCACTAATCCCCAATCCCACCTCACCCAGAATCCACTAATCCCCAACCTCACCAAGAATCCACTAATCCCTCACCCAGAATCCACTAATTAACCTAATCCCACCTCACCCAGAACCACTAATCCCATTCACCCAGAAAACACTAATCCCTAATCCCACTCACCTAGAATCCACTAATCCCTAATCCCACTCACCCAGAATCCACTAATCCTAATCCCACTCACCCAGAATCCACTAATCCCTAATCTCACTCACCCAGAACTCACTAATCCCTAATCCCACCACCCAGAATCCACTAATCCCCAATCTCACCTAGAACCACTAATCCCTAACCTCACTCACCCAGAATCATCCCTAATCCCACCACCTAGAATCCACTAATCCCCAATCCCACTCACCCAGAATCCACTAATCCCCAATCCCACTCACCCAGAATCCACTAATCCCTCACCCAGAATCCACTAACCCTCACCCAGAATCCACTAATCCCTAACCTCACCTAGATCACTAATCCCCAATCCCACCACCCAGAATCCACTAATCTCAACCTCACCTAGAATCACTAACCTCACCTAGAATCCACGAACCTCACCTAGAATTCACTAATCCCTAATCCCACTCACCTAGAATCCACTAATCCTAACCTCACCTAGAATCCACTAATCCCTGAATGGTTTTGGGTTCTGGGATTCGTGAAGTTTATTTAACCCGACTTAATTTGAACCCATGATAAGAGGGGGGAGGGACGGAGGGGAGAGGGAGGGAAGGAGGGGAGGGGAGGAGGGGAGGGAGAGGGAGGGAAGGAGGGAGGGAGGGGGAGGGAGGGAGAGGGAGGGAGAGGGGATGGAGGGGAGAGGGAAGGGAGAGAGGGAGGGGAGGGAGAGGGGAGGGAGGGAGAGGGGAGGGAGGGGAGAGGGGAGGGAGAGGGAGGAGAGGGAGGGAGAGAAGGGAAGGAGGGAGGAGAGGGAGGGAGGGAGGAGGGAGGGAGGAGGGAGGGAGGGAGGGAGGGGGGAGGGGAGGGAGAGGAGGGGAGGGAGGAGGGGAGGGACGGAGGGGTGAGGGAGGGAAGGAGAGAGGAGAGGGAGGGAGGGAGGGGGAGGGAGGGAGGGAGGGAGAGGGAGGGGGAGAGAGGGAGGGAGAGGAAGGGAAGGAGGAGGAGAGGGGAGGGAGGAGGAGGAAGGGAAGGAGGGAGGGGGGAGGGAGGGGAGGGAGGGAGGGAGGGAGGAGGGGAGGGAGGGAAGGAGAGGAGGGAGGGGGAGGGAGGGAGAGGGAAGGAGGAGGGAGGAAGGAGGAGGGAGGAGGGAGGGAAGGAGGGGAGGAAGGAGAGGAGGGAAGGAGGAAGGAAGGAGGGGGGTGGGAGGAGGAGGGAAGGAGGGAGGAAAGGGAGGGGAGGGAAGGAGGGAAGGAAGGAGGGAGGGAGAGGAGGAGGGAAGGAGGGGAGGGAGGGAAGGAGGGAAGGAGGAGGGAGGGGAGGAGGGAGAGGGAGGGGAGGAAGGGAGAGGAGGGAGAGGGAGGGAGGGAGGAGGGAGGAGAGGGAGGAAGGAGGGAGGGAGGAGGAGGAGGGAAGGGGGAAGGGAGAAAGAAAGGAAAGGGGAGAGGGAGGTAATCCAACCAGGTAACACTGACTTGCGTAACAAGAGGTTCCACACTTCCACTGAGGATGTTAGACTATGACTGCCCCACCCCTGCAACAAGTACAGTACAGGTATCAGACGTCATAATCACACCTATGGCTGTATTATTATTATTATTTTACTACACACTACTACTTCTACAACTACTACCGTATTTATCATTTCTACAACAATTCCAACCACCATTACCACCACTACCACCATGAACAGGTAACCAAGGCCACTAATTACAAGTGTGTCAGGAGGCAGTAGGCAAGCTCAGGGGTCACGTACTAAGCCAGGGTCACGTACTAAGCCAGGGTCACGTGCCGCCAGTCACGTGCCAAGCCAGGGGTCACGTGCCACCAGGGGTCACGTGCAGCCAGGGTCACGTGCTACAGGGTCGTGCCAGCCAGGAGTCACGTGCTAATCCAGGGGTCACGTGCCAAGCCAGGAGTCACGTGCAGCCAGGGTTCACGTGCCAAGCCAGGGGTCACGTGCAGCCAGGGGTCACAGAGACACCTCAGTAAACAGCGGCTTTGCTGGATTAGGTCTTATTGTAGTTGTTATTGTAGCACCTATCATCCTATTTCAACCCAGTGACCTATTTTCACCCTATTTCACCATTTTCTCCTATTACCCATTACACTCTTTTCTCCTATCACCCTATAAACCTCTATAACGGACCCTTGATATAACAGACTTCTCTATAACGGACCACATATAACGGACTTTTCTCTCTATAAAGTCCGTTAACCAATCGTAAACACAGAATTTACACAATTTGGCAGCCCTGTAAACATCAACCAATCATAAACAAAAGAATTTACACCATTTGGCAACCCTGTAAACATCAACCAATCATAAACGAAAGAATTTACACCATTTGGCACCCCTGTAAACATCAACCAATCATAAACAAAAGAATTTACACCATTTGGCAACCCTGTAAACATCAACCAATCACAAACAAAAGAATTTACACCATTTGCAAACCCAAACATCAACCAATCATAAACAAAAGAATTTACACCATTTGGCAACCCTGTAAACATCAACCAATCACAAACAAAAGAATTTACACCATTGGCAACCCTGTAAACATCAACCAATCATAAACAAAAGAATTTACACCATTTGGCAACCCTGTAAACATCAACCAATCACAAACAAAAAGAATTTACACCATTTGGCAACCCTGTAAACATAAACCAATCATAAACAAAGAATTTACATTTGGCACAAAACATCAACCAATCACAAACAAAAGAATACACCAAACACAAAACAAAACAAAAAAAAAAAGAATTACACCATTTGGCAACCCTGTAACTCTTAACCAATCATATTCCCAGACCTCAAGACGACATTTGGCAACCGCGCACACCTCCTGGGATCAGCTGATTTCGATAAACAAACTCACAAATGATCACGTGACCAGACTACTACTGCCTACCCCTACTACACCTTCCTTTGTTCACGGTTATATAGCCCTGGTGTTGTTATTGTTGTTGTTATTGTTGTTTATTGTTGTTGTTTTATTGTTGTTGTTGTTGTTGTTGTTGTTGTTATTGTTGTTATTATTGTTGTTATTCTGTTCCTCTTATTATTATTACCAAAACGTCAACATACATTACCCCATATTCGTACACACACCATCACCATCACCACCATCATTATTACACCATTAAAATATCCCCACATCCTCCCGGGGTTAAGAGTACGACCCAGAGTAACGGAAAGAACTCAGCTTGAGTACGTGTGTGTGTGTGTGCCGGATATCTCACGGTGTTCAGAAACGTTCAGTATTGTCGAAAAATACCCGGCTATTTCCCGAGTCCTTTGGTTCATGTGTACTGAAGTTGACGGCTGAGTACATTGTTTCATGGCATATGTACTAGCCTAGAGTACTCTGTTTGTGCCTCCTCCTCCTCCCCTTATCACCATTTCCAATTTTATTCCTGAAGCCAATTATCTGTCTATTCTATACACAAGTACCAGGTATTTCAGCCAATTTAACGCCAATTTGTTGCGCCAATATCGCCAAAATCAGATTAAGTCTTTTTAAATGGGCCAATTTACGCACCAATTTCACCCATTTTTTCTCTTTGTGTACAAGGTGTGTGTGTGTGTGTACAATAATAATAATAATAATAATTAACGGTTTAGTTTAAGCAGCCATAAGGCTGAAAAATATACAGTTACATATTTGGGAATGGGTTACGAATTACAAATAATATACAAGTAACATAAGTGACACAAATAAGACATAATAACTAGATGGGGAAAAGCTCAAACCACAGTCCATTTCAACATAGTGACAGTGCAAGGAGTAGTGTTTATCAGAGTGAATACACTGATTTATTACAAGTTATTGATAATCTTTACAATGGTTGGGACTGGGCTGTTCTATAGCGATCAGTTCGTGCACGTAGGGCTGGATGCGGTTGTGGTGTCGAACAGCAATTCTTGGACAAGGATCTCAGGTGGTAGTAGGAGCGGTGTCGGGATGTGTAGAAGCTCTACCAAATTTGCAGATGAGGTCGTGGTGATGGTCAGTGAGAGTCGAAGGGTCAGTGTGTTGAGCGCTTGATATATGTGTGTGTGTGTCCCCCTCTCTCTGTCTCAACCCACAGAAACTAGAACACACACACACACACACACACACACACACACACACACACACACTATGGTCCCAAGGTAGCAATATAAGTCACTCAACCATCAAGGTTACGCCACTAATACAACAAGTCATCACACACACACACACACGAGGAATTAAAGGCTCAAGGCCGCCCGCCCACCCACTCCTGTTAATGGTGGGCGGAGGGCAAGTGGGCGTCACATACCCCCGCCCAGACCACCCCGACACACCCCAGCCCACCACGACACATCCCAGCACACCACGACACATCCCAGCACACCACGACACAGTACCTGTACACTAGCTAACACAGTACCTGTACACTGTAACATTGTACCTGTACACTGTAACACAGTACCTGCACTGTAACAGTACCTATACACTGTAACACTGTACCTGTACACTGTAACACAGTACCTGTACACTGTAACACAGTACCTGCACTGTAACAGTACCTATACACTGTAACACAGTACCTGTACACTGTAACATTATTACCTGTACACTGTAACACAATGCCACTGTAACAGTACCTATACACTGTAACACAGTACCTGCCTGTAACATTATTACCTGTACACCCTAACAAGTACCTGCACTGTAACACTACCTGTACACTGTAACACTGTACCTGACACTGAAACACATGCCACAACTGTAACACTGTACCTGTACACTAACACTACCTCACACTGTAACACTACCTGTATAACACAATACCTGCACCTGTAACACTGTACCTGTACACTGTAACACTGTACCTGTACACTGTATCTGTACACTGTACCTGTACACTGCAACACTGTACCTGTACACTGTAACACAGTACCTGCACACTGTAACACTGTACCTGTACACTGTAACACACTGTACCTGTACTTATGGATACAGCCAGGACACTGTAACACTGTACCTGTACACTATAACACTAACACCTGTACACTGTAACACAGTACCTGTACTTATGGATACAGCAGGACACTGTAAGACTGTACCTGTACACTGTAACACTGTACCTGTACACTGTAACACTTGTACCTTATGGATACAGCCAGGACACTAACACTGTACCTGTACCTATAACCTGTACCTGTACACCCTAACACAGTACTACCAGCCTTATGGATGCAGACACTGTAGACTGTACCTGTACACTGTAACACTGTACCTGTACACTGTAACACAGTACCTGTACTATGGATACAGTCAGTACACTGTAACTTACCATACCTGCACTTATGGGTATAGTACACTGTAACACTGTACCTGTACACTGCATTGTACCTGTACTTATAGATACAGTCAGTACACTGTAACACAGTACCTGTACTTATGGATACAGTCAGTACACTGTAACACTGTACCTGTACACTGTAACACTATGTACCTGTACTTATGGATACGGTCAGTACCTGCTAATGCCTGTACTTATGGGTATAGTCAGTACACTGTAACACTGTACCTGTACACTGTAACACAGTACCTGTACTTATGGATACGGTCAATACACTGTAACACTGTACACTTTTCTTAACACAGTACCTGTACTTGGATACAGTCAGTACACTGTAACACTGTACCTGTACACTGTAACACTGTACATGTACTTATAGGTATAGTCAGTACACTATAACACTGTACCTGTACACTGTAACACAATCCTGTACTTATGGATACAGTCAGTACACTGTAACACTGTACCTGTACACTGTAACACTGTACCTGTACTTATAGTACAGCCAGGACACTGTAAAGACTGTACTATAGCACTGTACCTGTACTTATGGATACAGTCAGTACACTGTAACACTGTACCTGTACACTGTAACACTGTACCTGAACTTATGGGTACAGTCAGTACACTATAACACTGTACCTGTACTATGGGTATAGTCAGTACACTATAACACTGTACCTGTACTTATGGGTATAGTCAGTACTATAACATAGTACCTGTACACTGTAACACTGTACCTGTACTTATGGATACGGTCAATTACCTGTAACACTGATTACCTGTACGTATGGGTACAGCCAGGACACTGTAACACTGTACCTGTACACTGTAACACAGTACCTGTACTTATGGATACAGTCAGAACACAGCTACTGTACCTGTACACAGTAACACTGTACCTGTACTTATGGGTATAGTCAGTACACTGTAACACTGTACCTGTACTTATGGATACAGGCAGGACACTATAACACTGTACCTGTACTTATGGATACAGGCAGGACACTGTAACACTGTACCTGTACTTATGGGTATAGTCAGTACTATAACACTGTACCTGTACACTGTAACACAGTACCTGTACTTATGGATACGGTCAGTACACTGTAACACTGTACCTGTACACTGTAACACTGTACCTGTACTTATGGGTATAGTCAGTACACTATAACACTGTACCTGTACTTATGGGTATAGTCAGTACACTGTAACACTGTACCTGTACTTATGGGTATAGTCAGTACACTATAACACTGTACCTGTACTTATGGGTATAGTCAGTACACTATAACACTGTACCTGTACACTGTAACACTGTACCTGTACTTATGGATACAGGCAGGACACTGTAACACTGTACCTGTACTTATGGGTATAGTCAGTACACTGTAACACTGTACCCTACACTGTAACACTGTACCTGTACTTATGGATACAGCCAGGACACTGTAACACTGTACCTGTACACTGTAACACTGTACATGTACTTATGGATACAGGCAGGACACTGTAACACTGTACCTGTACTTATGGGTATAGTCAGTACACTGTAACACTGTACCTGTACACTGTAACACTGTACCTGTCTTATGGATACAGTCAGGACACTGTAACACTGTACCTGTACTTATGGGTATAGTCAGTACACTGTAACACTGTACCTGTACACTGTACCTGTACTTATGGGTATAGTCAGTACACTGTAACACTGTACCTGTATATGGATACAGTCAGTACACACTATAACACTGTACCTGTACTTATGGATACAGGCAGGACACTGTAACACTGTACCTGTACTTATGGATACAGTCAGTACACTATAACACTGTACCTGTACTTATGGATACAGTCAGTACACTATAACACTGTACCTGTACTTATGGATACAGGCAGGACACTGTAACACTGTACCTGTACTTATGGATACAGTCAGTACACTGTAACACTGTACCTGTATGGATACAGTCAGTACACTATAACACTGTACCTGTACTTATGGATACAGGCAGGACACTGTAACACTGTACCTGTACTTATGGGTACAGTCAGTACACTGTAACACTGTACCTGTATAAGGATACAGTCAAACACTGTAACACTGTACCTGTACTTATGGGTATAGTCAGTACACTGTAACACTGTACTGTACACTGTAACACTGTACCTGTACTTAGGATACAGCCAGGACACTGAACACTGTACCTGTACACTGTAACACTGTACATGTACTTATGGATACAGGCAGGACACTGTAACACTGTACCTGTACTTATAGGTATAGTCAGTACACTGTAACACTGATCCTGTACACTGTAACACTGTACCTGTACTTATGGGTATAGTCAAGTACCTGTAACACTGTACCTGTACTTTACACTTGAATCTAATTAACAGGTGGTAATTAGAGTTCTTAATACAGGTTATTATAATAACGACCCTACTATATAATGACCACTCACTGAACGAGACAAGCCACATTAACCTAACCTTGCTAACCTAACCTAACCCCTAACCTGCTTAACCTACCCTACTTGTAGCCTAACCTAGCAACCTAGCCTTGCAACCTAACCTACCAACCTAACCTAGCAGCCTTAACCTAACCTAACCTTACCTGGACACTTATGGCCAAACATTGTAATTAAGACTTGTTTAATTATGGCCAAATTGTATTCTGTGGCCACAACATCAGCTCTGTGGCCAAGAATCTATATGGTCACCTAGCTTGTTGCCAGTTAACCACTGTGGCCAGTTAACCTTTGTGGCTAATTACCTTCTGTGCCAGAACTAATCTCCATGGCCAAGGAATTTCAATGGAGGAGAGCTATTAAGTGGCCAATTACCCTCTGTGGCCAGTCAGTGTTACCAGGAGGAGGGCCACACCTCAAGGGCAGGAGGAGGAAGAGTTCACACACAAGTCAATATAATTCAAGTTTTATTTACATATATAACAAGTTTATGAGACAACACTGAGGTGGTCACACGGTTACTGGATGATGAGATGGATGATTATTTTTACACTGGGTGGGTGAGTGGATGAGGTGATCAGATGGGTGTTACAACGTGGGGTGGCAGGGGACGTGGGTGGCTGGGGACGTGGGTGGCGGGGACGTGGGTGGCGGGGGACGTGGGTGGCTGGCAGGTGTAGACGAGGACACATTAGCTGAGGGCACAACACACCTGCCCAACCATCCACTAATGTACCTGTACAGCCGTGTGTGTGGAGGCTGCGGCTACTGCGGCGGCTGCGGCACCCATGCGGGGCACACGCCGGGGCATCTGGGGCGTGGTGTGGGGGTGGCGATCCTCGGCTCCGTCGCCGCGACGATCTGGTGAAGGGGAGCTGTGGGGCGAGGCGGACCTGCCCACCAGCACCATCCTGGGGGAGGGGGAACGGGACCTGGGGTGACTCCTCTCCAGGCGCCGGGGTCCCTCGCCCTCCTCCTCGTAGCACCTGTGGGAGTTGAAGGTGCGGACTGTGGGTGACTTGGGTTGTGTGCTGAGGGGGTCGGCTGCACGTGGCGGTCCCTGAGAGCGTTGTGGGGTGGGTGAACACGGCGGGTGGTGGTGGTGGTGGTGATGGGCGCACGCGTGGCACGTCCGCTCGTGCGCCAGACTGGACACGAGGGAGTAGAGGGCGGAGCAGTGGTGGCAGGGGCAGCAGGGGGGCAGTAGCGGCGCCTCGCCCCCCTCCACGGAGGCTCGTCTGGCCGGGTCCTGTTCTTCGCTCAGAGGGTGCAAGCGCTCCCACCCGCCCACGGCCCCGTGTTCAGTGTCCGGGGCGGCCCTGTGACGTGCTCTGCCCCGGCTCGCTGCCTCCGGGCGGCCAAGAGGGGCGTCATCAGCCCGCAGAGTGTGGTGGAACTCGTGGGGCCGCGTCTCCTGACTCTCGTTGTTCTGCAGCACGATGTGTGCGGTGCTTTTGCAGCGGCGGCCATAAGGTCGCTGCTGCGAACCCGCTGTGTGGCCCTGTCCAGACTACCGGAGAAGGTGAGGCTGCGGGCGGCCAGCTGCTCCTGTGGTCGACTGAGATCCACCAAGCTCCTGGTGAAGATGGGGCTGCTACTGGTGGTGGTGGTGGTGATGACGGCGTCGTGGGAGACGGTGGTGGCCGGGGGTACTGAGCGCCCCGCCACCAGGGAGCTGCAGATGGGGCAGGGAAGGGCGTGGTGGGCGTGGGTAGCGGCGGGAGGGGCGTTGTACGTCATGGTGAGACCTTCGCGGCCACAGGTAATGGAACACTGTGCAGCGCCACCGCCGCCGTTCCAGCGCCAGTGTTCATGTGGTGTCCCACTGGTCATGAGTGGCCGCCCACCAAGGGCCGAGGTAGAGGTGGGCGTGACCTGGGCGTACTGCACGGGTGCCATGGCTGCCGTACCGAAGGTGAAGTGCGCCTGTAGGGTTAACTCTCTGGAGTAGACGGGCGGCTGCTGGTCCTTGTTATGTGTGGCCATGCTCCATGACTTATTGTCCGGGTCTTCTCCTGGCCCTGCCGTATAACATAGTCCTGCCCTCCGTCATGGCCACCACTGTACCGGACCCCTCACTAGTGGTACCTTACAACCTGGTACCGGGTCTTTCACAACTCATACCGGGTCTTTTACAACCTGGTACCGGGTCTTTCACAACTCATACCGGGTCTCTTACAACCTGGTACCGGTAGTGTGACGCAGAACCTGAAATAAACAACACTGCAGGAGAGAAGGGTGAGGGGGGCAGCGAGAGAAAACAAATATTGAAATTAAAACAGAAATGAACACGTGGAGATGGAACCCCACATTGGTCTTTCAGTGATGGTTGAGGAGCCGTATGACGAAGGAGTCGACGGAATTGTGGCCGTTGTACCAGTATAGGAGGAGAACAGGCCCTTGAAGGAACAGGATAGGAACTGTGAGTGTGTGGTCAGGGAGCCTGTAGGAGGAGCTTGGGAATCTGCTAGCGCCCTGGTACAGAAGAGGATTTGTGGCAAGCAGGGCGTGGGCAGCTTGTTCTCCTCCTAAGGCACAGCTTATATCACTCAACCCACATGATGTCAGCTGTTCGAGGTTACTGTCAGCTGTTCGTAAGTAAGCTGACACCAGGAGGTACTGTCAGCTGTTTTAGGAGGTACTGTTAGATGTTTCAGGAGGTTACTGTCAGTCTGCTCACAAGTAAGCTGACACCAGGAGGTATTGTCAGCTGTTCACACGTAAAGAGACACCAGAAGGTACTGTCAGCTGTTCACAAGTAAGCTGACATCAGGAGGTACTGTCAGTTGTTCACTCGTAAACAAAAATCCAACAGGTCTGACAGCTGTTCAGGAGGCACCGTCAGTTCTTCGAGGAGATACTGTCAGCTGTTGACACGTAAACTGACACTAGGAGGCACTGTCAGTTGTTCACTCGTAAACAAAATCCAACAGGTCGACAGCTGTTCCAGGAGGCACTGTCAGTTCGTCGAGGAAATACTGTCAGCTATTCACAGGTAAACTAACTCAAGTCTCAGCTGACAGATTCTCCTCAAAACTAATCCAAGTAAAGGCAGGTCGTCCTCGAGGGAGTTAAGCACTAGCAGGTCGTCCTCGAACGGAATATAACAGCGGCAGGTTATCCTCGGGGAGTAGGCAATGGCAGGTCGTCCTCGAGGGGTAAGCACTAACAGGTCGTCCTCGAACGGAATATAACAGCGGCAGGTTGTCCTCGAGGGAGTAGAGCAATGGCAGGTCGTCCTCGAGGGAATGAGGAAGGAACTAGGGAGCGAAGGACACTGGCCAGACACCCTCCTCTCAACCTGCCACGCAGAGGAATAAACACGAGCATGTAACACACCGCCTTATATGTGACCAGAGAGGGCGGGGCATAGCGAAGGGGAGGGGCATGGGGAGGGGCATGGGGAGGGAGGGGGGAATGATAAACGTGGAACGTTCTCCAGTCAGCTGTCTGATATGTACACACACATACGACTCAGAACCATTGCCCAACAGGAGGAAAGAATGGGCAACAGGGCAACAGTGAGTAACACACACACACACACACACACACACACACACACACACACACACACACACACACACACACACACACACACACACACACACACACACACACACACACACACACACACACACACACACACACACACACACACACACACACACACACACACACACACACACACACACACCACACACACACACACACACACACACACACACACACACACACACACACACACACACACACACACACACACACACACACACACACACACACACACACACACACACACACACACACACACACACACACACACACACACACACACACACACACACACACACACACACACACACACACACACACACACACACACACACACACACACACACACACACACACACACACACACACACACACACACACACACACACACACACACACACACACACACACACACACACACACACACACACACACACACACACACACACACACACACACACACACACACACACACACACACACACGCACACGCGCGCGCGCGCACGCACACGCACACGCGCGCACGCACACGCACACACACACACACACACACACACACACACACACACACACAGAGAGTTTATGGTTCGCTGTTGTGGTGGTGTAATACTGGATGATGCAGTGATCTCTCTCTCTCTCTCTCTCTCTCTCTCTCTCTCTCTCAGCGGTCGTGTCATCAACAAGGAGGAGTGAGTGTGTGTCACGAGGTGTACATGTGAACAAATATCCTACAAGGATACGTACACACTGACTCATACGCACGAGCTCTCTCACTCACTCTCTTTCTTTCTTTGTTTACCTTCTCTCTCTCTCTCTCTTTCTTTCTTTCTTTCATATATATCAACCTAGAGAAGTCGACTTGTGAAAGAGACCTAGGGGTACTTGTAAGCCCGGACCTACGGCCTAGAAAACAGTGTGTTTATGTTCGAAATAA